TGTTTTGCTTTGGGTTTGTTTTTTTTTTTTCTCCTGAATGTCCTTGACTAGCAGGGTACTTAGCAACAACTGAAAACATCAGTGTGTTATCAACATTCTCCTCATACTAAATCCAAAACACAGCACTAGCAAGAAATTTAACCCTATCCCAGCCGAAACCAGGACACTAGGAAATCTGTCTGTCTTAGAGATCTGGCATGTTTCTGCCATTAAGCCAAAGATTCTCATAGGTTTCCTCTCTGAAGACAAACATATCTCATTCCAGGGGTGCACGACACAGCTGTATTTTTTGTGACTTTTGTTTGTACTGAGTATATTCTGTTAGCTGTTACAGCCTATGACCTTTTCTTGGCTATATGCAAACCTCACTGATATTCACTCATCATGAATCATCAGTTCTGTGCTTAGCTGACAGTTGGCTGTTGGATGTGTGGTTTGATCACCTCTTCCATCAAGCTGAGCTTTATAGCCCAGCTCTCGTTTTGTGATGTAGACAAAATCATCACTATTTCTGTGATATTTCACCCCTACTGAATATCTCCTGCAGTGATTCCTCTTTGGCTGAGCTAGTGGACTTCATCTTTGCTCTGATCGTCATCATGGTGCCTTTGTGTACTGTGGTCACGTCCTATATTTGCATCATATTCACTGTGTGGAAGATCCCTTCTTCTCAGGGGAGGCAAAAGGCCTTTTCCACCTGCAGCTCCCACTTGACTGTAGTGATGTTGTTCTACTCCACCACTCTTTTCACTTATGCCCAACCTAAGGTCTACAGTGCTAACAAGTTGGTATCAGTCTTGTACACGATAATTGTGCCACTTCTGAATCCTCTCATATATTGTCTTAGAAACAAAGAAGTCAGGTTTTCCCTGAGGAAGACCTTTACTTGCACAAGACACACCTAAGAAGGGGCTTTGCTCATGAAGATCAATTGGCAGTGCTGGTGAACTAAAGTCAGGAGGTCCAGACTTTAATCCACGCTGAAGTGAAACTCTCCTATTCATCCACCCAGTAACCATATTTATTGAACCAGATCTTGATAAATCTAAGTTTGATCTACATATATACTACGGTTTTGGGTTGGGAGGCGTTTTTTCCATGTTTGTTTTTCCACTATGATTCTATGCTGCCTACCTTTATTAGAAGTCTTCAGCTGAATGACTGCTCCAGTTTTAAAGAGAAGGTTTGGCAATGCTAGAAACTGAACCCCAGATTTTTTTGGCCCTGAATAGATTGCTAGGTCCACAAAACATTGGGTGGGATTGTAAAAGGCATGTAAAATGCACATATCTACATCTGATTTATTTACCCCAAGATTCTGTTATTGTCCATGGAAAGAAATAGGGAGTGGAAAAGGATGAGTAATTTTAACTTTCTTAGATATCTAATTTAGGATAAAATGAAACATCCTCTGAAGGAGTCAACTTTTCTAATATAGCAATAGAGGGATTATAATGTGAGTAGCTCATGCTGTGGAATAATCACAGTGTAACTTAGACTCAGTCTGTGGTTCACACCAGGGCCCTGGTACCCTTAATAACCTTATTGTACCCAGGGCACACCAAATAATTCACTCCAAGAAGAAATTCAGACACAACTGACAGGATAGATCACTTCAATGTTTCCTTCAGGCTGCATAAGCCTTGGATTCAACAGTATTACAGCAGGAGTCATGACGTTAAACTCTGACTCACGGACTACAGTCCAAATCTTCCCATTGAATATGAAGGAGTCTTGAGACACAGCTGATGCATCTGAGTTAAATACTGATTATCTGTGAGAAAATCTGATTATCAGCTAGAAGTCTCTATAGGTAAAAAGGTACCTCTAAGAAATCTACTCCAAGCTCAGAATATCACAGTGATTCAAAATGTTTAATACTCTGTAACAAACAAATAAAAAAAAGATAAAAAACTGTCAGCTGAGTGCATATCTGTATGACCATGTTAAATGTGGGTTTGAGTTTATAATTGAGACCATAGTTTCTGATATTCTACGCTCTGTACGAGCAGACAGCCTTTTCAGATTTTGCAGTTAATGAAACATCTAGCTTTCCGGGCAGGAAACCTTAAGACACTTGCTGGAAGAACTTGTTCTGTGTATACTGTTGCCATGGATACAAGGATCTAAACAACACTTTTTGAGGAGTTGAGCACAACTTTAAGGACAGGTGTCAAGAACAGCTTTCAAGTTAACCATACGGGGAAGCTATCACCAGAAATGTAAGGTGCTGGCTGTATTCCAGGTATTAGCAGAAAATCTGCTATGAGAAAATAGGTAGTCGATACAATATGAATATACAATACAGTATGAACCACGGCATGGGAAACAAAGAGCCAAAGAAACAAAAACATCCAGTAGTTCTTTAGTTTTACATTTCAGATCAAGACCCACAGAGATAGATATATAAGCATGGATTCCTCCAAAACTACCCAAAAATTAAGTATCTAAGTATAATGGCTAATTAGACATCTAAGCAAACTACCCTAGGATCCTTTACTATTCATGGATATGGATTATCACCCCCAGAGGATATTTATTCTACTTATCTTCAACATATGCCTTTAACATATAGATGTTATGAATCACTCTCCAAAGGTGCCTATTTCTCTCATAGATTTTACAGATAGCCTGTAATGCCTAGATCAGACGTGTGTGTTAGTTGTGGTTTAACCCCAGCAGGCAGCTAAGCCCCAAACAGCCACTCACTCACTCCCCCCTCAGTGGGATGGGGGAGAGAATCAGAAGTGTAAAAGTGAGAAAACTCATGAGTTAAACAGGTAAAGCGAAAGCTGCGCACACAAGCAGAGCAAAATAGGGAATCCATTCACTACTTCCAATCGGCAGACAGATGTTTACCCATCTCCAGGAAAGTAGAGCTTCATCATATGTAATGATTACTTGGGAAGACAAATGCCATAACTCTGAGTGTCCCCCACTTCCTCCTTCTTCTCCCAGCTTTTACTGCTGAGCATGACCTCATGTGGTACTCTTCTCCCAGCTTTTATTGCTGAGCATGACCTCATGTGGTACGGAATATCCCTTTGGTCAGTTGGAGTCAGCTGTCCTGGCTGTGTCCCCTCCCAACTTCTTGTCCACCCCCAGACCACTCACTCCAGGGGCGGTGTGAGAAGCAGAAAAGGCCTTGACGCTGTGTAAGCACTGCTCAGCAATAACTAAAACATCCCTGTGTTATCAATGCTGTTTTCAGCACAAATCCAAAACATAGCCCCATACATGCTACTATGAAGAAATTTAACTCTATCCCAGCCAAAATCAGTACAGTGTCAAGCCCACTTTTATTCTTATTACAGTATATTAAAGCTTTTACACACCAATGACCACCTAACTTGTTTCTCCCCTTATTTCAGTTTTTCATATATAAAGTGAATACCATAGCATTTCAGTACTCCTTAGTAAGCTTTCCGTTGAAATATTAAATGTTGCAAGGTGTGTAGCTGCTCTGATACATTGATTTGGCTACACATGTTGACTGGTTTTAAAGCATTGATCTGAAGGTGATTGCTTTGAAATTATGTCACAAAAATCCTTCAAATATACTGTAAAAAGGATTATTGTCCAATTGTTTTGTTTTTATATATCCACTAATAATGATGTAGTTAGATAACCTGAAACAAATTACCTATTCAATAAGGGTTCCTAAGTGTTTTTAGGGAAGGAGAGAACACAGTCAGGTATTATACAAACACAAACTTTCTGAGAATGCAAGTTCTCTCTTGCATCTAAAAGTTTATTTCTGGAAGCTTTTCTAATGAACACTTTTGTAAATTCAAAGTTAGGTGCCTTTAGTATATTGTAAATAAATCACCTCCCACAAGTAATGTGAATAAGACTAGGAGTCCAATCTTAGCTCTTGAGAACCTTACCGTCTCTCTTACTCTTATCGTCTGCCTCTGAGAGCTGGTGAGGATGTATGCAGAAGTAAAATACTCTGGCGTCGTGGTTTAACCCCAGCCAGCGAATAAACCCCACGCAGCCGCGCGCTCATCCCCCCACTCCAGTGGGATGGAGGAGAGAATCGGGAGGGCACAAGTAGGAAAACTCCCGGGTTGAGATAAAAACAGTTTAATAATTGAAATAAAACAAAATAGAACAGTAATAGTAACAATGAGAACAACAACAAAAACAGAATATACAAAGCAGGCAATGCACAATGCAACTGCTCACCAACTGCCGACCGCGTGTCATGAACGGGGGGCGAGCCCCCCCCACAACCCCAGTTTTTATACTGAGCATGATGTCACATGGTATAGAATACCCCATTGGCCAGCTGGGTCAACCTGGTCTGTGCTACCCGCCCTGCCCCAGCTTCCCCTACACGTGGCA